CGGGGGTCGGAACGGCCGCTCCCTGCCCAGCCGGGCTGCGTTGTCCCTGCTGGGCGAGGCCCCCTCCGGCCGCGGCTTTCTCTCGGTCGGAAACGGGGCAGGAGGCAGCTAGAGAGCAGCTTCGGCGATAGGGCGGGTTTCCTTGCGCTCGGGAAGCCTCGCGGACCCCCAACCTTTCTCCCCAGAGACGAAGCTTCTGGCTTCTGTTACCTGAACGACGTGGTCTTGGGGATCTTACAGCTGCGCCGGACATTTGACCGCGTCCTCTACGTTGACCTAGACTTACATCACGGGGACGGTGAGGATCTCTCCACCATTCCTGTTTGAGATAATGGCTGCGGTATTAAGCAGTTTCCCACAGAAAACAGAGCGGGGCCAGAGGAGAGCAAGCAGGATGCTAAAGGGCCTGGAAGGCAACGCTGGGGAAGAGCAGTAGGAAGTGCTGGGTGCGCTTAGTCTCCAGAAGAGAAGGCTAAGGGGAGATAGGCTCCCCATCTGGGCTGAAGGGGCAGAGCTGTTCTGAGGGGTTCTGGAAGTCAAAATAGTGGCCTCAAATGACAAGGAAGCGAATCTTGTCTGGATATCAGGAGGAAATTCTGAATGGGAAAGCTGTCCATCAATAGAAGAGGCTGCTTCAGAAGGCGAACAGAGGCCAGATGGCCATCTGTTGAGGATGCTGTACAAGTAGATTTGTTACCGGGCAAGGTGCTGGACTGGATGTTCTCCAGTATGCCTTCCAACCTTTCACTTCTATGGGTCTACGAAAGAAGATCGCATCCTGTGGCTTCCAGTTCCTAGAGAAGTTGCATTGTTTTCCAGGCAGGGATGGGGCAGGTCTGACTGATTTTACCTCAATCCTCTTCTTGTGCCTCTGTCTGGACTTTTTCTGTTACTTCGGCCCTGTGTCCCTTCCTCCAGTTGTCCCTTTAATATGCCTCTCTAGGAAACTGGGCCTTCCCACATTCTGCTATAACACTACAGGTGGTCCTTGGTTAATGACCACTCATTCAGTGACTGTTCAAACTTGCGACGGCTGTTGCAGTGTCAGTGCAGTCATGTGGTTGCCATTTGTGACCTCCTTTGCCAGCTTTTGACAAGCAAAGTCAATAGGGAAGATGGCAAGAGGTTACAAATGGTGACTACATGATGTTCTCTCTTAATGACCCATGGTGATTTGCTTAACGGTTGCAATTGGGATTGGAATTGCTGATGTTAAGCGGTGCAGTCACGTGACATCGTGCTTTACAACCATGTCGTTTAGTGACAGCAATTCTGGTCCCAATTGCTGTCATTAACTGAGGACTACCTCTAAAAGTTACGGTACAAGAATGCTGCATGCAGTGCCTGATACTGGGTGGTGAGAGCACCAGGATGAGATCGGCCCTGGCTACACTACAAACAAGCGCCTCTCTTTGTTGTTCTGTGCAGGAGTAGAAGACGCTTTCAGCTTCACCTCAAAAGTCATGACAGTGTCTCTGCACAAGTTTGCACCTGGATTTTTCCCAGGCAAGTGATCTGTTTACCAAATTGGATTCCGCCTCTCTCGCTCTACTTCTTTATGGAAAATAAAATGCAGCTGAGCTTCGGAGCCCCTTCCTCTCCCATCCTTCTCCACTTGCTGGTGGCTGCAATTTATTGGAAGGGAAGAATTCCTTCTTTCTCCCACTGGGCTCTCCTCTCCCTTCTGGCATTGAAGGCTAAATTGTAGGCCCCCTTTGTGACCCACCCTTGGATTTGTACACGTGCACTAATCTGAGCTTTTTGCACCTGCTCAGGAACAGGAGATGTGACGGATGTGGGCTTGGGGAAGGGGCGCTATTACAGCGTCAACGTGCCCCTTCAGGATGGCATCCAGAATGAGAGATACTATCAGATCTGTGAGGCGTAAGCATCTGCTTGTTCAGGCCTGTCTGCAAAGCGGGCTGCACCTCCTTCAGAAGGAAGGACTTTTTCTGCCAAGGGTTCCCTCACCTGTATTACAGAAGAGCCGAGAGGCTGAATCGGGCCTTCTGTGCCCCTGGAATCAAAGCTGGTGGGAGAAGCTTTGCTTGCTCGACCCTTCTGAGGCGGCCTGCTTCTGGTTCCTGGACGGTCACACAGATCACTCAGAATCAGGATACATCGGTGGCCTTTCTGCCAGGGATTTTGTCTCATCCCCTTTTAAAATGGTCTTGGCAGCCTTTGCCTTTCCCACCACTTGGCTTTTTTGGCCCTTGGAATTCATTGCATCTTTAATGCAGTTCCATCAGGACTTTCTTCCTGGGGTGACAAAGGTATCCCAGAGCTGTAGTTTTTCTAGAATCTCTGCCTGCCCCCTGCCTTCATCTCCCCGCAGGGGTCTTCCGCTGAATGGAGCAAAGGACACTTGGAGGAGTCAGGAGGTGGGAATGGCAAACACTCAGCAGGGGGCAGACTGGTCCAGGTGGCTTCCCTCTTCCTTCCTGTACTGTTCTACAGGGTGTTGAAGGAAGTATATGCAGCCTTCCGCCCCGAAGCCGTTGTCCTGCAGTTGGGAGCAGATACAATTGCGGGTGACCCCATGTGTTCGTTCAACCTGACCCCGGAGGGGATTGGCAAGTGCCTGAAATATGTTCTGCAGTGGCAGCTGCCGACCCTCGTCCTGGGAGGAGGTAAGCGAGTGAGGATGCAAGCGCGGCATCAGGGAAACGTAGATTGTGTTCTAGGACAGGGCCCCTTGTGTTGCTGTACTGATTGCAGTCGGTTTCTAAGCCCCACAAAGGACTAGTTCTTAATCTTTAAAGCTCATAGCGGAGGGCGTTTTGTCTTGGTGCTAGTTGGAAACTTGATTTTTTAAAATGAAGTCAAATTCTTAAGATTGCATCAGAGTTAAAAATGAAATGGCCTCAGTAGCCACTTGCTGTTTCTTTTACAGTTTTTCTTACTGGGTCAGCAAAATGGCTTAAATCAATTCTGCAAGTCTGCTGCTTTGTTTCACTGAGCCGATCAGGTTCTGCAGGTGCAAGATGCATCGTGCTAACTGGGGCTGGAAAGGGGCGTGGTGGGGCAAAAGTGCTTTTCACTTCTTTCTTTTCCCTCTGCCCTCTTCCTTACTCTGTGTGCATCGTTCCCTCCTGGAGATAGGAGGCTATCACCTTGCTAACACCGCCCGCTGCTGGACATACCTGACTGCTGTCATTCTGGGGAAAACGCTACACTCTGAAATTCCAGATCATGAGGTAAGGCTCAGGTCCTTCCCTGCTCCAAGCACAGGAAAAGGGCCGTCCTTAGTCGGGCCCCAGGCCCTGAGCATGCTGTGTGGGCTCCCTGTAAAAACAGCTTCTGATTTATTTAGCCTAGGGTGACTGAGAATGGTTAAAGACACGTGGAATACACACGTTAATTGCATTTCCTTGATGTAAGCTTGAAGGAACGTGGACTGGAGCAGGGCCACTAGCAAGCTGCTCCAAGGGCGGTGCTACTCTTGGCCCAGACAGAAATGCAGGAGGCCAGCCTGGGGCTGCAATAGATGCACAGCCCATGCTACGCTGGCTCCTGAGACGAGGCCTTCCTCTCCTTGTGGAGAAATGCTGAAGCTTGATAGGACGCAGGAGGGGGATTGGGGTGCCAGGGTGCCCTGGCAGCTTTTCTCTCCAGCCTGACCAACAGCTTCTCCTCTCCCGGGCAGTTCTTCACGGAATATGGCCCTGACTATGTGCTGGAAATCACTCCAAGCTGCAGGCCAGACCGTAATGAGCCTCAGCGTATCCAGGAGGTCCTCAACTCCGTGAAAGGTGAGTCCTCTGCGAGGCAAGCCCTGACGCTGCCTTCCTTTTGAGTAGGGCTGGCTGGGCTACGTCTCCCACGTGGGCACTTGCACAAGGTCCACGCGGGCCGAGTCTTCCCAGTGTGTGAACTGGAGGGGATCTCTTCCTTCAGAAAGAGGAGCAGAAGCTGTGGTGGGAGGGTCTGGGGACCTTGGGAACACTCAAGTCTCCTTCCGGTTTGGAGCCTGATCTGGGGGCAGGGACCCAAGGGCTCCAGGAGGAGACGGGCTTTGAGGTGTTCCTCTGTTTGCAGGGCATCTGAAGCACGTGATATAGCTGAGATGAGAAGTCTCCTTTCCCTAGAGCCACTGGACCTGAGACCACCAAAAAAAAGAGGGAGCAGCTGCCAAAGAGTCTGCAGAGAAACTGCCCGGAAACTCCGGTGGGGGCATCAGGAGTCCCCCAGGCAGCCAGGTTGTGGTCCTCGTGTCGCATGCACGCCTTGGAGCAGCAGGGGGTGTTAGGCTGAAAGGAAGACATTTTCGCCTAGCCTGGATTTCCAGCTGCTTATTTCCCTTGCGGAGGCAGCTCATTCTGGAAGGATGGAAGGCCCTGTGCCCTCTGCCTCTTGGACCGGCAGTGCCACAGCAAGATGAAGCCCCCTTCCTTTTCTTTTTTTTTTACAACTGTTTGCCTTGAAATAAAAAACTGGATTTATTCGCCTCTTGGCCTGCTGCGTGGTCCTTGGACTAAGAACTCTCCGTAGCCTTTTCCATCTTGGGGCAGCAAGGGCCACTGGGGCGTGACCCTCGAGGTTCCGCTTGACCGAAGGGGCCGCTGCATTCAAACCTTAGCGAGGGGAGGAAATGCCCCCCCCGGCGGTTCTACAAAATTCGACCCAACGGGCGTTCGTTCGCCTGGCTTCTCCGTGTGCCAGTGAAGCGTCCTCAAGTGCTGCCAGCGCTCCAGGCCCCAGGCCACCCAGGGGCCCTTTGGCTCCGCAGCCAGCAGTAGCCCTTTCCCAGCAGAACGGCCCAGGCGGGAGACGCCGTGGGTGGGAGTTCCCGGACAGGCCCACCGGAGGCGCCCGCGAAGCGACGACCCTCTCCCGCGGAGCATCGGGGTCGCGCGGGG